TTTTTTTTTTGGGTTGTATGGAAGCCCCAAACGCAATTTCATTGTTCTTGACAATGACAATAAATAAATACTACTACTATTAGTGTGCAATTTGGTTGACTGTGATTGTATGTGTTTATGAGTTGTACTGAGGCAATGAAGGTGCCAGTTGTTCATTTTCAAGTCAGCTCCTTTTGTGAGTCCCAAATCAAAACCTCCTTCTGAACCTAGTTAGATGTCGAGGGTCTCTATTTGAATTGATATTAAACTGGTCCTGAGTAGAGGCGCCACAATAGCAGGTCCCTGAGGAGAGGACTGCCTTCATGATTGGCTAGTTGTAGGTAACAGCAGCAGATTCCCCAGATGCTCTTTAGAGTCTGCTGACAATTCAGTGCAAATCTGTGAGCGAGTATCTCAGGCATGACACTTAACTCTGAACATCGAAAAGTGTTTTACACAGAAAAATGCAGACATATTTTAGAAAACAGTGGAAGGATATGGCTTCCTCAATCAATATGCAGTAAAATAAAAGTTTCTAATTTTGTCAGTCGCATTGTTTAATGTCCAAATCAGACTGCAGGTGAAGTGTTTGTGCCTTCATAGATCGACCTTGATCTGTAAATTGATTGTGATGTAAAAGTCAGTAGATGTAATAAATGTGGAAAACCTTTCCTGTTATTTTCCTTAAGACATCTTGGGCTGCTCATCTTTTTGTGAATGTGTTGCTCATTAAATGTGGTTGGTTTAACAGATAATTAAATATTATGTTAATATTTACAATAAAAAGGCTCATATTTTTACTTCATATTCAGTTCTACTCACTGTCACAATTCTGCTAGGCTGCTAAAGTACTCAAAGTTTTCCCAAGTATTATGCTGATGATATTTATAAAGTATAAAATAATAAAGATAAATATAATAATCATGAAAAACTTTTACTTAATTAGAATTTTTAAATGTCGGCTTCTTACTTGTAATGTATTATCTTAATGTCATATTAATAATTGTACTGAAGTAACTATATTCTCCTGTCATCTTATTAAGAATGTGCAGTCATGCAGAAATAAACAACAAGGTTGTTGTGTGCTGGGAAAGTACAGCTGGAGTGGTGACGGAAACTGCCAAGAAGGTGTTTGTTGTATTCTCTGGACAGAGGAGAGAAGGCAAGGAAACTTGGTGGTGGAAGTAAAGTATTTAAAGGAAGAGGCTGAAAAAGAAGGAAGTAGACAGCACTACTGGGAGACTTGGCAATGAGAGTGATAGCAAAGGAAAATCCTTATAGTGAATGTGATGTGCATGTGAGGTTGGACAGTAAGGAAGGACATGCATCAACCAACCGGCTATGCAGAAAGCCTGAGTCTGAATGGATGTGCAACAGATTAGAGTCATTAAATACAGAGATATGCTAACTGTTCACTTAGTATATTTGTTCAGTTAGTATATAGTGTTGGAAAGAGTACTTTGTCTTTTTACAAAAAAACAGCTAAACATGAGATGTTTTTGGACAAAGTTTGTGTTCTCCATTCTTTAAGCACCGGCACCGTTTCAAAAGTACCGGTTTGGTACTGGTATCAGATAAAACCTAAACGATACCCATCCCTAGTGACACCGTCTTGTTTGTTTGATTTGATTTTATTGATTAGCATTCAAATATCTCAGTGAAGACAGAACAAAGATCTACCACAAAGCAAGAAAGCATGAGACAAGGCTAATCAAAAGGTA